GTAATTTTGGTCGGCTGGCCACTCCTGGGAAGGTTCTCCACTGTTCCATGTTTTTGCCATTTGTGAATAATGGCGCTCACTTTGGTTCGCTGGAGTCCCAAAGCTTTAGAAATGGCTTTATAACCTTTTCCAGACTTATGTATCTCAATTACTTTCTTTCTCATTTGTTTCTGAATTTCTTTGGATCTCGGCATGATGTCTAGCTTTTGAGGATCTTTTGGTCTACTTCACTTTGTCAGGCAGGTCCTATTTAAGAGATTTCTTGATTGCGAACAGGTGTGGCAGTAATCAGGCCTGGGTGTGGCTAGAGAAATTGAACTCAGGTGTGATAAACCACAGTTTTAACAGGGGGGCAAACGCTTCTTCACACAGGGCCATGTAGTTTTGGATTTTGTTTTCCCTTAATAATAAAAACCTTCATTTAAAAACTGCATGTTGTTTACTTGTGTTATCTTTGACTAATATTTAAATTTGTTTGATGATCTGAAACATTAAAGTGTGACAAACATGCAAAAAAATAAGAAATCAGGAAGGGGGCCAACACTTTTTCACACCACTGTATATATAAAAAAAGTACTAAAAATGACACAAAATGTAACTAAAATTAAAACTGAAAATAGAAAAATAATAGCTGATTCCAAATATTAAAACACTACAATAAATTGTCGGTAAGGTTTTTTTTTTTTTTTTGCAAGAAATTTACATTCATACAGCAATGATGCATTAACGTGACAAAGACATTTATAATGTTACAAATCTTTTTATTTCAAATAAATGCTGTTCTTTTAAAGTTTCTATTGATCAAATAATTCTGAAAAAGCATGATGGTTTCCACATTGATGGTTTTCAACATTAATAATAAGAACGTAAGTATAAAAGGATGTATCTTGAGCAAATCAGCATATTAAAATGGTTTCTGAAGGATCATGTGACACTGAAGATTGGAGTAATGAAAGCTACAAATACAGCTTTGCATCACATGAATAAATTACATTTATAAATATGTTAAATTATAATAATTGTTCACAATATTTCTCTGTGTACTGTATTTATGTGATCAACCTTGGTGAGAATGAAACATAATTTTTTTTTTTACTAAGCCCAACATTTTGAATGGTAGAATATAGCACCCAGATAACATTTGTAAAATAGGCATTATACAAAAAAGAGCAAGGTATGAAATAAGTCTATCCCATAATGCAGTGTACTTGATTGGCTGTTGCTTTCCAGTGTGACAGCTGGACCAGAAATAAGTGCAGCCACAAAATTGAATACCTCTATTTTCACTTATTTGATAATCCTGGCAAACAAGAAGAAATGTGTTCACAAAATGTAAATAAAAACCAAAATAACCTTATATTATTAAAATACAACATTCTTGTTTAATATAATGTACTGTATTTTGGGTCACATTCATTCTAATATTGCATACTAATTTTTTTATGGCAAATATTATGTGAATGGGAACATTAGACTACTTTTTTTTTTGCTGTTAGACGCTGCTGCATCTAGTAGTTTCTCACAGTGCTTGCTTCATTCCACCTATAGGTGGCGCTGATGAAGCAGATGAAGGAGGAGCAGCAGCGGAGGAGGATGATTGATGCGAAGAGGAACAGAGAAATCGCACAACTGAAGAAAGAGCAGCGACGACAAGAGGTTTGACTGATTAACGTTTAAAAACGAGTGCTACCAGTTGTTTATGGTGGTGTATGTAGTATTATTTACTCGCTCTCTCTATGCTCATTTAGTATCAGATCCGAGCTTTGGAGTCCCAGAAGTGTCAGCAGGAGATTGTGTTGCGGAGGAAGACGCAGGAAGTGACGGCGCTGAGGCGGCTTGCCAAGCCAATGTCGGAGCGTGTGGCGGGACGCGTGGCCCGCAGACTCACCAGTGTGGACTCCAGAGCAGAACTGTCCACCAGCACCACAACAACAACCTCCGAACACGAATCCACTCGCTCGGTGTCCAGCATCATACGCCAGTGGAATACCAAACTGAACGGATTCCTGGGAGAGAATGAGAGCCGTGGGACTGGAGGAAACCTGGCCAGGTCAGTGCTGCGTACACCAATGACTCGATGAATGTTTTTCAAGGAAGTCTCTTATGTTCAGTGAGGCTGCCTTTATTTGAGCAAAAAACAATAATATTGTGAAATATAATTACGTTTTCAAATAACTTTTCTATTTGAATTTATTTTTATTTTAAAATTGTAGTTTATTCCTGTGATGGTAAAGCTGAATTTTCAGCATCATTACTCCAGTTTTCACTGTCAGAAAAGCAGTCTTCAGAAAGCAGTCTAAAGGCTGAGCGCGATGCGAAAAAGTGAGGTGAATCGCCGACAAACGGTGCTTTCACACCGAGCGCAAAATGATTGATCGCCTTCTGATAATTGACACCTGCACGCTAGGTGGCGCCAACCAACAATGCATTTTTCCTCACATCGTCCGCTGTTCAACAGCATTAAATTAAAATGCCCCTATTATGGATTTTTGAAAATTACCTTTCATGCAGTGTGTAAGTGAATGAAAACATCCTGCAAAGTTTTAAATCTGAAAGTGCACCGTGTATAACGTTATTGTCTCTCGAAAGAAAGAGTTGACTCTGAATCATTGAAACGAGTCGTTTTTAAAACGAATCCCAAGCCGTTTCATGTTGACATCAACATGAAACATTAGCATATTACCCGCCCACTTGTTGGTCTTTTCGTGTTGGTCTGAATGAAAATGCTAATTCATTCTTTGCCACTAGGTGCCGCTTTTGGAGCAGTAAAATAGTGGTTTCCCCAATAACGCTGTATGCAAAGCAGCACTGCGCTCACAAATGCTGCTTTATCAGGCATTACAGGCAAGATGACATTAAAATGAGACCAATCGGACCAATTTTTTTTTACTAAGCCCAACATTTTGAATGGTAGAATATAGCACCCAGATAACATTTGTAAAATAGGCATTATACAAAAAAGAGCAAGGTATGAAATAAGTCTATCCCATAATGCAGTGTACTTGATTGGCTGTTGCTTTCCAGTGTGACAGCTGGACCAGAAATAAGTGCAGCCACAAAATTGAATACCTCTATTTTCACTTATTTGATAATCCTGGCAAACAAGAAGAAATGTGTTCACAAAATGTAAATAAAAACCAAAATAACCTTATATTATTAAAATACAACATTCTTGTTTAATATAATGTACTGTATTTTGGGTCACATTCATTCTAATATTGCATACTAATTTTTTTATGGCAAATATTATGTGAATGGGAACATTAGACTACTTTTTTTTTTGCTGTTAGACGCTGCTGCATCTAGTAGTTTCTCACAGTGCTTGCTTCATTCCACCTATAGGTGGCGCTGATGAAGCAGATGAAGGAGGAGCAGCAGCGGAGGAGGATGATTGATGCGAAGAGGAACAGAGAAATCGCACAACTGAAGAAAGAGCAGCGACGACAAGAGGTTTGACTGATTAACGTTTAAAAACGAGTGCTACCAGTTGTTTATGGTGGTGTATGTAGTATTATTTACTCGCTCTCTCTATGCTCATTTAGTATCAGATCCGAGCTTTGGAGTCCCAGAAGTGTCAGCAGGAGATTGTGTTGCGGAGGAAGACGCAGGAAGTGACGGCGCTGAGGCGGCTTGCCAAGCCAATGTCGGAGCGTGTGGCGGGACGCGTGGCCCGCAGACTCACCAGTGTGGACTCCAGAGCAGAACTGTCCACCAGCACCACAACAACAACCTCCGAACACGAATCCACTCGCTCGGTGTCCAGCATCATACGCCAGTGGAATACCAAACTGAACGGATTCCTGGGAGAGAATGAGAGCCGTGGGACTGGAGGAAACCTGGCCAGGTCAGTGCTGCGTACACCAATGACTCGATGAATGTTTTTCAAGGAAGTCTCTTATGGGCTGCCTGGCTGCCTGTATTTGAGCAAAAAACAATAATATTGTGAAATATAATTACGTTTTCAAATAACTTTTCTATTTTTTTATTTTTTTATTTTAAAATTGTAGTTTATTCCTGTGATGGTAAAGCTGAATTTTCAGCATCATTACTCCAGTTTTCACTGTCAGAAAAGCAGTCTTCAGAAAGCAGTCTAAAGGCTGAGCGCGATGCGAAAAAGTGAGGTGAATCGCCGACAAACGGTGCTTTCACACCGAGCGCAAAATGATTGATCGCCTTCTGATAATTGACACCTGCACGCTAGGTGGCGCCAACCAACAATGCATTTTTCCTCACATCGTCCGCTGTTCAACAGCATTAAATTAAAATGCCCCTATTATGGATTTTTGAAAATTACCTTTCATGCAGTGTGTAAGTGAATGAAAACATCCTGCAAAGTTTTAAATCTGAAAGTGCACCGTGTATAACGTTATTGTCTCTCGAAAGAAAGAGTTGACTCTGAATCATTGAAACGAGTCGTTTTTAAAACGAATCCCAAGCCGTTTCATGTTGACATCAACATGAAACATTAGCATATTACCCGCCCACTTGTTGGTCTTTTCGTGTTGGTCTGAATGAAAATGCTAATTCATTCTTTGCCACTAGGTGCCGCTTTTGGAGCAGTAAAATAGTGGTTTCCCCAATAACGCTGTATGCAAAGCAGCACTGCGCTCACAAATGCTGCTTTATCAGGCATTACAGGCAAGATGACATTAAAATGAGACCAATCGGACCAATCACCACAGATTAGCGTCATGCAAATGAGGGGATTGGAAAAAATTAATCGTTGAGCGAATCGTTTGGGAGTCGTTGAGCAAGTAAGGTATAAATAAATACATATTATAAGACAATATAAATGTGTTTTTTGACCTTGCATGCAAGTCAACCTGTTGTTGACCAAAACCAAAATATGAACCTTTAATTACCCATAATATGGGCATTTTAAGTTAAAGGGGTCATATGATGCGATTTCAAGTTTTCCTTTCTCTTTGGAGTGTTACAAGCTGATTGTGAATAGATAAGATCCCTGAAGTTGCAAAGACTAAAGTCTCAACCAAAGAGATATTCTTTATCAAAGTTAAGACTCTGCCACGCCCCCCTAAAACGGCTCGTTCTAACATGCCCCCACATATCAGGGCTCGACGCTTACTTTTCTTTTTAGGAGCACTTGTGCTCCTAACTTAAAAAATTTAGGAGCACGTTCAAAATTTTAGGAGCACCTTCTAATCAATAATCCAAAATGTTATCAAAAAGTAGCCTTCTCATTACGAGGTAATATTTGACTCTTCTAACTTTATTAAAAGTATGTCATCTTTTGTCAAATTCTTAAATTATATTTTATAAGCTTAACAACAGAATAAGAGTAGAATAAGAAACAAGTTAAAAATCAAATGAAATCAGTATTAACAAAAATAATTTGTAGAGGTGGCACAGAAGAACACAAAAGTGTTGTTTGATGTACTTTCAGACATTTAATGAGGTTCAGAAGTGGAATGAGTGCAATTAAATCCATAAATCCATGATGATATTAATGTTTTAAATATAAAATTTTGAATATAGAAATATTAAATGATTTAAATAACTGAAAAGATACTTTAAAAATGAAACTAAAACTGCCAGCAGGTGGCGGCAAGTCACTGATTTTTATCACTGAATCATTCATTCAATTGATTCATTCGAACGGCTTATTCATTCAAGAGTGACTGTCTTTATGAATGGGTAATCATGAATCACTGACTCACTAGATTCGTTTAAAAAAACTGTTCGTTCATAAACGAAACACCGCTGTGTTTGAATGGAGATGCGCAGCGGCTGAGCTGTGACTTTGTTTTTAAACTATTTTCGAAATATTTCGAAATACAACGAAATAGAGCAAAATCAGACAATAGTGTTATAGTCAGACAATGTAAGTAACTTAAAATTAACTTCTTGTTTATTGAATTGTATTGTATTAAATCAGTTATCACATTTACAAACTCCCTTAAAAATCATTCAAAGCTGTCACTCATCATCTTAGTTCATCGCGAGCTCACATTTATAATCAACGAAGCCCTCTACACTGTGTGATGAATCTCTTATTTACACCCTGTCTACACTTTGCTTATGAAGGATTGGTGAGATATGTCTGATACATTACTCGACGCTGCAAAAACACGTAGAAAGCTTTGAAGCTTCCCTGAGCGCAATCACAAGTATGATGATGATCGGGTCAGTCGCACTGGGGCTCCTAAAATAAATTTCATAGTCGCACGCAGTAGTTTGAAATGGTCGCACTGTCGAGCCCTGAAAGCAACTTACAAATGAGGACAATGGAAGCAATCAAAATCAACAAAAAGTGCTATAACAAGTCTCAGTTAGATTAACGCAGCACACGTAGCAAGGGTTTTTTAATTCTATAATAGATAAAAAGAAAACAGATAGAATAGAGCAAGTTAGTGTTAGAGGCCTTTTTTGCTTTTGTTAATTGTATAATAAATAAAAAGAACTGAAATAGAATACAAAAAGAATAGAGAAGCTAGTGTTAGTTTTTATACTATATATACTGGCTAAATACTTCAGCCATTGTGTTTTGTTTGAATTCTGCGTACAGTTTTTGTGTAATGTGCTAAATTAGATTATATACAATTCACCAAAAATCACACACAACTTAAATTTTTTTTTCTTTTTAATATTGTAAATAGTATTGTAAATGTTTTTATTGTAAATTCCTTTTTTACATTTATTTCTCATGTGTATGCTTGATGCTACCAATGCCAAGATCATGGGTTTAATTACAAGTAAAATTGCCATGATTGAATTGATAAAAATGTATTTTAAATCTGAAAGTGCACCGTGTATAAAGTTATCGTCTCTTAAATGAAAGAGTCGACTCTGAATCGTTTGGTGTCAAACGAAACTGAATCTGAGTCGTTTTTAAAACGAATCCCAAGCCGTTTCATGTTGATGTCAACATGAAACATTAGCATATTGCCCGCTCTCTTTTCGCGTTGGCCTGAATGAAAATGCAAATGAATTCTTTGCCACTATGTGGTGCATTTGGAGCGGTAAAAATAGCGGATTCCCCGGTAATGCCGCACACAAAGCAGCACTGAGCTCACAAACGCTGCTTTATCAGGCATTACAGGCAAGATGACATTAAAATGAGACCAATCGGACCAATCACCACAGATTAGCGTCATGCAAATGAGGGGATTGGAAAAAATTAATCGTTGAGCGAATCGTTTGGGAGTCGTTGAGCAAGTAAGGTATAAATAAATACATATTATAAGACAATATAAATGTGTTTTTTGACCTTGCATGCAAGTCAACCTGTTGTTGACCAAAACCAAAATATGAACCTTTAATTACCCATAATATGGGCATTTTAAGTTAAAGGGGTCATATGATGCGATTTCAAGTTTTCCTTTCTCTGGCATAGAGGACCTACAATAATGTACAGTATTTGAAAAATAATGTGTTTTTTGAACATTAAAGCATGTCAACATATTCTGTTACACCAAATACACAAAATAATGATCTTTAAAAAAAGCATCATATGACCCCTTTAAGTAAAGTTTGGTTCTACACCAGAAACACAAACTATCTATAATGCTTTCAAGAATGCATCTTAAAATATAATTAGCACCACCACCCTCGCCTTTTGTGCAACGGCAGCTGCTCCGGGCACGTGATCTAAGCTCAAATCTAATTGGACAACCCGTTTCATCACGGAGCAACAGAAAAAAAAACAACACAGGATGAAAAAAGTCCTCGCTTTTTCTTGCCGCAAATGATTGCGCCTGGTGTGAATAGCCCCATAGGGATCTATTGTTTTGATTCAAAAGCATCATCGCGCCGAATTTTCACGTTTCGTGTGAAAAGGTCTTAATATAATGATTTTGCTCAAACGTTTCATATGCTGCATTCATGCCATGTCGTAATTACTGTCATTTCGAAATGACAACACATGATGTTCAATTTGGAGCTGTTCACACCCTTAAACTTAGAACTATCGCACATAGCGCCGAATGAATCTGAGGTGGTACAAGTTGTAGCTCTCCTAAAACTCCTAGTTCACAAGTTGTAAATGCGAGTTATACGAGGACATGAATGCTTTTTACAAGTTGGTATCTCGTAATCATTGTAAATACAATATGGCATGAACGCACCTTTATTATTAGTGAAAGATTCCTTTTTTTAATACTTTTTTTTTGTATATAGTTTTTTTTCTTTCTCAGGATTCTTTAATGAATAAAAAGTTCTAAAGATCTTTTATTTAAAACAGAAATCTTTTGTGACTTTATATATATTTCTTTATTGTCACATTTTGATACATTTGAATGGTATGATAGATTAATTTACAAATAAATACATAATTTTTTATACAAGTATTAAAATAATAATAGTAATAATAAAGATAATAATTACAATTTATTTCACTCCAATCAAATCCCGATGTATCAATCCTGCCTTAAAAGTTTTACTATATTTCCATTTTTTTCAGTCAGAAATGCATCACATTATGGAAGTTAAATGCACAATTCTTTATTCCTTTTTTTTTTTTAAGGTTAATCTAATAAATTGTATGGTTACTCTATTAGGTGACATTCATTAAGAAAATTCAGTTCCCATTACAATATGAACTGTAGGCTGTATATTGTATATCTGAATTTGTTTTCAGTAGCAGAAAAAAGTCCCAGCGAAAGAGTACGAGCACACGTTTTTCAAAGACAGCCCGTCAGAAGTGGCAGTCTCTGGAGAGGAGGATCATGGATATTGTGATGCAGAGAATGACCATCACTAATGTGGAAGCTGATATGGATCGCCTCATTAAGGTAATTTTTGCATTTATATTTCTTTTACATGTTACATTATGCATTATGCACCCTGTGCATTTTTGTTGTATGATTGTTGTGTGCATTTATGATTTGTGTGTTTAACAATGTAACAGTTCAGCAAAAAAGAAGGATTGTAAACGCAACTCTTATATGATGTCTCGCTTCCAGAAACGTGAGGAGCTGTCCATGCAGCAGGAGGCGCTGTTGCGCAAGAGAGAAAAGTTACTGAACGAGGGCTTCGGAGAGGATGAGGAGGAGAGGCACCTTCAGGAGATGAACGAGGAGATTGAGGTTCTCAATGCCAACATCGACTACATCAGCGATAGTCTGTCAGACTGCCAGGCCACCATCGTACAGATCGAGGAGACCAAGGTTCAGGGCATTTCAGAAATGACTGCTTGCTTGTTGTTGCATGTAGTTGAATCACGTCACTTATATTTACATCAAGGTTTTTTTTATATATTGGTCATATCGTGTGCTTATTTTAGGATGAGCTGGACTCAGTGGACACCTCAGTGGTCATCAGTTCCTGCTCGCTGGCCGAAGCTCGCGCTCTCCTGGACTACTTCCTCAAAGCCTCTATTGACAAGGTAAGTCCAGGCAGAACTGTTTGATGTTCTGATTAGGGTCATCCAGAGTAATACATGATTAAGTACTGTAGATTAGAATAATTAATAACTAAATTAATAGTGAAATTGTAATACATAAATTATATTGTAATTGAAACGGTAAAAAAGAGCAAATACGTACACTACCATTCAAAAGTTTAGAGTCAAGTTTTTTAAAAATAAATTAATTCCTTTTTTTCAGCTACAGTACAAAGTGACAGAGAAGGCATAATGTTACAAAAGATTTATATTTCAAATACATGCTGATCTTTCTATTCTTCAAAGAATCCTGAAAAATTGTATCATGGTTTCCACAAAAAAGCAGCACAACTGTTTTCAGTGTAGATAATAAAAATGTTTAATATTAGAATGAGTTCTGAAGCATAATGTTACACTAAAGGCTGGAGTAATGATGCTGAAAATTCAGCTTTAAAATCACATGAATAAATTGTCTAGAAATATATTTTTAAAAAAGTATTTGTTAAATTGTAATATTTCATATTACATATTGTAAAAAAATGAATTCCTTTTTTTCAGCTACAGTACAAAGTGACAGAGAAGGCATAATGTTACAAAAGATTTATATTTCAAATACATGCTGATCTTTCTATTCTTCAAAGAATCCTGAAAAATTGTATCATGGTTTCCACAAAAAAGCAGCACAACTGTTTTCAGTGTAGATAATAAAAATGTTTAATATTAGAATGAGTTCTGAAGCATAATGTTACACTAAAGGCTGGAGTAATGATGCTGAAAATTCAGCTTTAAAATCACATGAATAAATTGTCTAGAAATATATTTTTTAAAAAGTATTTGTTAAATTGTAATATTTCATATTACATATTGTAAAAAAAAATTTTTATCAAATAAACGCAGCCTTGGTGAGCAGAAGAGACTTCCTTCAAAAATGTTTAAAACATCTTACTGACCCCAGACGTGCGAATGGTAGTGTTTCACGTGTGTTTGTGTGTATATAGGGGTTACAAGTTGCTCAAAAAGAGGCTCAAATTCGCCTGCTGGAGGGTCAGCTGCGGCAGACGGATGTGATTGGCTCTTCCCAAAATCACATGATCCTGGATGCTCTAAGGGAAAAGGCAGAGTGTATCCCTGAGCTGCAAGCTCTAATCCACAATGTCCAGCAAGGTGAGTAATCAGTCATAAGTATTCATATATCTATATTTTCCCTGCTGGTGGAATGACCTGGCTAATTCGATCCATCTTCAAGAAACGGCTAAAAACACATCTCTTCCATTTACACTTGACCCTCTAACACTAGCACTCTCCATTCTATTTCTTTTCTATCTACCTTTTATTCTCTTTATTTATTATATAAAAAAACCTTGCTATGTATACTGTGTTAACCTGACTGGGATACATTGTGTTTTTAGGGGTTTACGTGCATGGCGCTGTAATTCTGTTGTAATTAAGGGTGTATTCACGCCAGGAAAGTCCGCTAGTTCATTTGCTTTGGTCCGGACCGCATACAATGTTGATTTTTTTTTTTGTTTCGTGTGGTTATATTTCACACTGGCCTTTTTGCAAGTGAACCAGAATCTGTAAACAAAACCAGACATGTGCTTGAGGTCATCCATTCATTGGTTCATCCATTCAAGCGCACCAGAGTTAGCTTGGAAGCAGACCCGAGGCCACCTCTTCAGCTGAATTAAAAAAATATTTTATTTCATTTAGTTTATAAGGTTTAGCTTAACCTGATGTACTAAAATAAAACAAATAAAGTATTTAATAAATAATAATAAATACATTTATTAACAATAAATGAAACATTTAGGCGACTACATCTACTTTAGATTTAGTCGACTAAATTGTATGATATTTAGTCGACTAAAACTAAAACAATTCAGTTGACTAAAATATGACTAAAACTAAATGGCATTTTCATCAAAAGACTATGACTAAAACTAAATCACAATTTGCGGTCAAAATTAACACTGCTGGAGAGTGACTATTAATAGTTATAAAAAACAAACAAACTTGAGTTTTTGACTAATGCCAAAATGTTCAAACGAGGCAGGTCCACTTTTCCTAAAATGGCTATAACTTTTCAATGGAATGAGATATTTACTTCAAACTAGATGCGCACATGTAAGACCTCGATCTGAGGTCACATGAGAAAAATCATGGAGTCTGGCCACTGTGTGGTGCTATAATAGGACAAAAAAAGGGCTATAACTACGCATCAACTAGCCAATGAATTTCGAGCATCTTTTAGACGGAGTTAACAGAGGCTGATCAGAACAAAACTCAGTGGGTCTGTTTGACTCTCGGCCCTAAAGGTCTGTGAGGAATTTGAAAGAAATCGGCCACTGGGGCTCAATCACATTTTTCAAGTGTCTAAATGATTGTATATTGCGTGACTTTTCACACATGCACACGGTATTCATATCATATGATAGGCCTCCTAATTCTGAATAACTTTGCCTCAAGAAACACTGCTGTCAATTAAATCGTCTGTTAATCATTCAAGATTATTTTAAAAACGTACTTTCGCAAACTAGTCCTAGGTTTTTTGCTTACCTTCAAGAAAACCACGGCAATACAATTTTCTGAACTCTCTTGGTCAGTAATTGTCAAAAAAAGTTTGAACTTTACACTGGTTAGATATAACAAGGTCGTTTAGAAAATGGGCCTGGCCAAATATACCCAAAAGCCTATGAATCCCAAACTAAAACGGAAAACCTCATGAAACTAGGTGAGCACATGCAGCATATGATTCTAAAGATGCATACCAACTTTTATGGAGATTGTGCTGTAGGTGGCGCTATAAGACTTATACAGGTAACAAAAAAATACTCTATTTAATCATTGTTTTTTATGTAGATACAGTCTTCCTAAATAATACATAATGCCTATTTTTGTATTTGCTTAATTGCCTTAACACGCTTGAACACCGGTAATCGCTGCTTGCAGCTATATTTGTAATTGTGGTGTTAATTCGTCATTGTTTTATATATTCCTCAGAGAATGGCTATGCTAGCACAGATGAGGATGCGTCTGAGTTCAGTCAGGCATCAGAGGGCGGGTATGAATACATTCTTACAGTACATTCACAGATGGTTATCATGAAATAATCTATACAATCTAAATTTGAACCTCACTGCTTAACTTCCTGCTACAGTTTTTTCCAGATGAAGTTGTCTGCGAGTCAAGATGACTTTAAGATGAAGGTAAAACTTAAAATTAGTGTCTCGGCGTTGATCGAGTAGTATTTTATGACATGGCTATATTGAATGGGCTCATCAGCATTGGAAAGCAGCATTTAATTTCTGTTCTGTGTGTTATAACCAGCAGGTGGCAGTGTAGTATTTTGAAATATTTACTGCATTTCCTCTCACAGGTTGAGCCTCGGCTATCTGCACAAGTGAAGGCGGTGTCAGCTGAGTATTTGGGCCCGATCCTGGACCTCACCTCCAAGAACATCACTAAGTCCCTGGCTTCTCTGTCGGAGATCCATGAGAACGGCCTGGTCCTCAAAGAGGCCTATTCCAGAGATCTGGTGTCTCGAACCATCAGCCTGCCTGTCAGAGGACACACTTTGTGAGTGGAACTGTCAGGCAAAACCCTCTCGTGCTGGAGTAAATTATATTCCGTTATATGGGATCAGGGTGGGATGAGAATTTTGGATTCTGTCTTAGTTATTTTGAACATAACAATTTCTATGCTGATGTTTCAGCCCAAGGCAGTCCAGAGGATCTGACACATCTCCCTTAACAAGGAGGCAGTCATACGACCGAGGCCAGCCATATAGGTAACTTCATCACCAGAAATCTGCCAAATAATGCTTCTAGTTAAGGTTTCAAACTGAGATCTGGAGGAAAAAAGACAATTTATTACTGAATTTATTTCATTATGCTTCCTAAAGACAGGACAAAAATCGCAAAACTAATACTAGTCATACTAACTCATTTTATTTCGTAGGCGGGCACATTTTTCAGTCTTATTGTTAATGTGAAAAGATTATTTTGCAATGTACTTATTTGTTGTATCTTTGTGTGGTGTTTTCATGTTGCTTTAACTGACAAATAAACGAACGAACGAACGAATGAATGAATAAATTGAATGAATGAATCAGTCAGTCAGTCAGTCAAATTAATCAACAGTACAGTAATAAAAATACATAAATGTTTTCCTTCAGCTTTATGTATCCAAAAGCAAAAAAATATTTTCTTAAACATTGTAAAATGACAATGTAAAAACTAATTATTTAGTTTTGCAAACAAAAATATATAGTATAAATCTGCCTTTGTAAATGAAAATATAGGAAATGGTCCATAGATGGATGGATGAATGAATGAATATATACAGTGTGTGTGTATATATATATATATATATATATATATATATATATACTGTGTATATATATACATACATACATACATACATGTATATATATATATATAATATATACATTTTGTTTTTCACCATTTCTATTTTTGTTCATGTTATTATTTTGTCATCAATATTATGCTGTAAACTGCTTTAGTAAACATGTTAATTTTAATGGTACTATACAAATAAATTTGACATGGGCAATTTGACATGACATTTACTTACTCTCAAGATGTTCCAAACTTCTTCTGAAAACAAAAGAAGATATTGTGAGGAATGTTGGCAACCAATAGTTGATGGTAGCCGTTGACAACAACTTGAGTGTGAGTAAACGATGACAGAATTGTAATTTTTGGGTGAACTATCCCTTTAACATACTTAAAGGTGAAGTGTGTATCAGGTTAGCTGTTGATATGTTGTGAAATATTAGGTTTCGGTATACTGTTACACTCTTTACTTTAATCAAACATGCTGTTTTTTTTTTGTGTGTATTGTTTTTCTTTTTTTATGTCAGAAGTCTAGAGGTAGGCTACACCCCTCCTTCTTCCCCTCCTCTTCGAACACGCAACGACCGCAACGTCTTTTCCCGGCTGACAAGCAACCAGAGTCAGGGCTCAGCTCTCGACAAGTGAGTTGCACACAAACACACACAGACGGCATGAACTATTTATTATCTTGATAAAAAAAAAAAATCATCAGAGTTTGATTTACTTTAGGGTCTAATTCTTCATCATACCTGAGCATGGGATTTTACATAAGCCCACATGTTCTCTAGGTTTATTTAATTGCTTTCATTTCCACCCAGCTAGTTTTTTTTCTCCTTCAGCTATAAGTAAATGATTATGCTTTCCGTCAGGTTACTTCGAGGGCTTCATTACAGTATTTTAATCCACTAGTTTGGTACCTCAGCTTTAACCCTGTGTGTGCCGCAGGCAGTATCGATCTCTAATTGCAGTCGAATGGTTAGTATAACTCAAAGCCGACAGCAGAAGCTACTGTCAGTTCTTCGGCTCTTGTGAATTCTCATTATAACACCACAAGTGGGCACATTAGGGTAGAATAACCAATTATTCCACCCTCTGAAGATGGGTTTTGTTTGCACTTTCCTTCCATAATTGAATCAGCAGTGTCTGATATTGCCATAGAGATCTAAATTGGTCATTTGATGCGCCTGTCAGGGATTTATCTCATTATTTCTCCAACCCCTTGAATATTGCATTCCCCAGTGTGTGTGTGTGTGTGTGTGTGTGTGTGTGTGTGTGTGTGTGAGAGAGAGAGAGAGAGAGAGTGTGGGATAGGACACATATGGTAGCAGACTGTAGATTTCTCTTAATGTAATTTTCTACCAGGCCGCACCATTCCGTAGTCTGATTACAGCGTTTGGCTTGCTATCCATCCTGTTCGTAGTCATACAACCACCTTTAGCACAGTAATTTTGTGTTCTATGTTAAATTATCATAATTAGCACTATTCGCTAAGGCAAGCATCATTATTACTGTAGCTCATGCTTAGAATTAGAGATTTGAACAAACCCCTGATGTTGCAACCCTTCCGGCATTATTTGTGAGCGTATGTGATGCCGCAGATCTTGCAAACTTATTGAAGAGAAGCACGCCATTACTTTTATAAGAGTTTAGAATTGAAATGGGTGCAAAAAATCCTAAAGTTATGTTAACCTGTTAACTGTCGGTTCCACTTTTTGAACATAGACCTGAAAATGAAACTTAAATGAAATTTAAATTCTCCAACTTAAGTTATAACTCTTGAGTGATTTGAAGTGATTTGACTTAAGTTTGGTCTCTTTTTGAAGAAGACCCTTGGTAGAAAAAAGAAAAAAGGCGAAACCTGGAAAAAATTTCTGAGTTTCTGAAAACAAAATGTAAAAAGCAATATTTTATATAAGATATATATTTTAAAAAATGTTGAGCTCTAAAACTACCAGAAAATCAAAACCAAAAATTGGAACGAGTCGTGTTCCAAATTTGAGGTTGATATCTCCAAAAATGAGCTTTCAGTAAGGTTTTGTTTGGGAGCAGTACCAAACTTTTCCATTGGATGACCACCAGGCACCATTAGTGACCATATTTGCATATATGGTTTGAGTGATCTGAAACATGTTTTTCCATACTTTTTAAAATATTGATGACGTATACATCATATTCAGAAGTATTATGGGCAGTATGTCAGTATTTGAGTTGAATTCAGCCTCTAACAAAAAGACATGTTGCAAACAGAATCTGTCAGTTTTTCTTTATATTCAAAACATCTTTAGACCTTTTTTTTTTCTCAAAAAAAAAAATAGATGTCATCTTTTGAAATATTGGCATGAAAATGAGGTTTTTACCGATTTGTTTCAAGATTTTACATGAGTATTGCTGTTTCAAAATAAAAGTCAGAACTCGCTTGCTGACTCGGAGTACTCTTGTTGCAAATTAATAAATTATGGTTGCTCTGTAAAGTATATTGAAAATCAGTCACAAAATATGACAGCTAGAGTCTCTAAGCTTTCAAGTCATAAACAGTTTGTCAAGATTAGTTTAGGTTTAGGCGAAGATATTGCGGTTAAATCATGTAATAACAGATGGGTCCACCGGCATCATAAATGTTAAGTTGAAGTATTACTAACATTATTATTATTAATAATTTAATAATAATAACAATTTTAAGTCATCCCCCCAGTGTGTGTGTGTGTGTGTGTGTGTGTGTGTGTGTGTGTGTGTGAGAGAGAGAGAGAGAGAGAGTGTGGGATAGGACACATATGGTAGCAGACTGTAGATTTCTCTTAATGTAATTTTCTACCAGGCCGCACCATTCCGTAGTCTGATTACAGCGTTTGGCTTGCTATCCATCCTGTTCGTAGTCATACAACCACCTTTAGCACAGTAATTTTGTGTTCTATGTTAAATTATCATAATTAGCACTATTCGCTAAGGCAAGCATCATTATTACTGTAGCTCATGCTTAGAATTAGAGATTTGAACAAACCCCTGATGTTGCAACCCTTCCGGCATTATTTGTGAGCGTATGTGATGCCGCAGATCTTGCAAACTTATTGAAGAGAAGCACGCCATTACTTTTATAAGAGTTTAGAATTGAAATGGGTGCAAAAAATCCTAAAGTTATGTTAACCTGTTAACTGTCGGTTCCACTTTTTGAACATAGACCTGAAAATGAAACTTAAATGAAATTTAAATTCTCCAACTTAAGTTATAACTCTTGAGTGATTTGAAGTGATTTGACTTAAGTTTGGTCTCTTTTTGAAGAAGACCCTTGGTAGAAAAAAGAAAAAAGGCGAAACCTGGAAAAAATTTCTGAGTTTCTGAAAACAAAATGTAAAAAGCAATATTTTATATAAGATATATATTTTAAAAAATGTTGAGCTCTAAAACTACCAGAAAATCAAAACCAAAAATTGGAACGAGTCGTGTTCCAAATTTGAGGTTGATATCTCCAAAAATGAGCTTTCAGTAAGGTTTTGTTTGGGAGCAGTACCAAACTTTTCCATTGGATGACCACCAGGCACCATTAGTGACCATATTTGCATATATGGTTTGAGTGATCTGAAACATGTTTTTCCATACTTTTTAAAATATTGATGACGTATACATCATATTCAGAAGTATTATGGGCAGTATGTCAGTATTTGAGTTGAATTCAGCCTCTAACAAAAAGACATGTTGCAAACAGAATCTGTCAGTTTTTCTTTATATTCAAAACATCTTTAGACCTTTTTTTTTTCTCAAAAAAAAAAATAGATGTCATCTTTTGAAATATTGGCATGAAAATGAGGTTTTTACCGATTTGTTTCAAGATTTTACATGAGTATTGCTGTTTCAAAATAAAAGTCAGAACTCGCTTGCTGACTCGGAGTACTCTTGTTGCAAATTAATAAATTATGGTTGCTCTGTAAAGTATATTGAAAATCAGTCACAAAATATGACAGCTAGAGTCTCTAAGCTTTCAAGTCATAAACAGTTTGTCAAGATTAGTTTAGGTTTAGGCGAAGATATTGCGGTTAAATCATGTAATAACAGATGGGTCCACCGGCATCATAAATGTTAAGTTGAAGTATTACTAACATTATTATTATTAATAATTTAATAATAATAACAATTTTAAGTCATCCTGCAGCCCCCTGTTTGAGAACCACTGTTTTTAGATCCTGAAGAAATAATAATCCAGGTGTGTCTAAACTTTTGACTAGTAGTGAATGCATTAAAGAGGGATAACAACTGATAAAATCCCCTTTTGATAATGCTAGAAAAGTAATAATAATAAAACCTATGGTAAAATTATGTAGCAAATACATTGCCTCTTTGAATTGTCTCCAAATATGGTATTGTCTCAACTGAAAAAGACAAACCAAAATTGACTAATCCATGATGTATTGAGGTATTATTATTATTATTATTGGCAAAATTATTGATGGTTAAATGCCATAGTGAGTCAAAAATGCATATGGCTACTAACCCCTTTTTTGAAGATTCTTTTATTTAACTTATGACCAACAAATATATACATGGATTTGCTCACACTCGCATACCTGTATTAGATTTATGAGAAATAAGTGAAATATTAAGTATTTAAATGCCATTTTTCGTTTAATTTTATTTGTTTATAAAGTACCTTTTAGATTGTTCACTACAAATATTATAAATTAATGTGTTTTTAAAAAAGGGTCAGTTTGACCCCTTTCTTACAGTATTCAGGGACCAGAATAACAGGCTTTTTGGACTAGCAACTGCATAGCAACATAATAACAACCACTCTGAACATCTTAGCAACCACATCGCAATACCCTTGTGACATTTTTAAAGACGTAACATTTTTGTCTACGCTGGTTGTCATATGGAAATTTTGAACTCCTTTTTATTTAGAACTTAATTAGACCCTTTCTCACCTGTTAATGTGCATGTCAGTCACTGTCAGTGCGTCGGTCTCAGTATATACGCTGTTGCGTGATCTTAATTATTTTAGCCCAAGAGACCCTTCTCCACTTGATTTCTGATTGGTCCCTAATGGGCGGGACTGACTTGATTAGACTGGAATCCTGACAGCCTTTAAGTCTTTGCTCGGGTTAGCACAGAATAACAAAACCGGACAACAGACGCAAGACATTCATGCAGGCCAATATTAATAGACCTTCATCAACATTCAAATCAGTGTTGGTGTCAGCGAATTGAAGTGTCCTGTCAATTGGTCACACTCTCATGAATCAGTTTCTCAAATAAGCATGTGTGCATGTCATAAGTTTCTTTGCTTCTAGTCTGACTGAGTCAGTGTTTTAAAGTACCGTGACTCTTCATTTACATTTCAGCTAATCAAATGCGATCCGAGGGACTGCCAGTTGTTCATGTTGTTTTTCTTTTGACTCCAAGTCTCTGACTTCATTGACCAGTGTCACTGATCAATAGAAAATAGCTGTTTTCTGTTTTAATATAATTTTAATGTAATTTATTCCTGATGCAGAACTGAATTTTCAACAGCCATTACTCCAGTCTTCAGTGTCACATGATCCTTCAGAAATCATTGTAATATGAGAACTTATTATTAATGTGCTGCTTAAAATGTTTGTGGAAACAAAATATTTTCAAAACTATTTCTATTGATGAAAGGAAACCACTTATGTTTGTATATCATTCATATTTTATTCTGTGCCCATCAGCAATCATCCTATTTCACATAAAAGCACTTAGTATGTGTGAGCGATGATTGCCACGTGCGGCTTTGAATCTCATGTGCGTGCATATTGTGTCTGTGAATAGTGGGAGCCGTTTAGCCTAGAGTGCTATAGTGTTTCAATAGAGATGCTGCCCAAATGAAAAAATAGTATTGATAATATGTCTCACTAAAACGCTGGCCTTTTTTATTCGAGTCATGTTTAATTTTGTTGATAGTCACTATAAAAACAGCTCAGATCAAATAGCCGAGTGAATTGAGACATGAAGTATCCATTACAACAACACAAGCTCTGGGAATACATCATTGTGAGGCTTCTATATATGGATCAGAGCTCAGGTTTGGAGTGGGCTCTTCCTGTTAACATTGAGTCTTAATACCAGTAACCCTACCCGATGAACTCTGCATTGCCTTCCTGCTAACTCCTCCCCCTTTGATCTAGCCCCACCCCCTGCTCCCGCCTGCTTCCTGAAAGGCTCCTCCCCCTCCCTATCTGTCTTCTACTGACTCTTCCCACCTTCCCCTAACCCAACTACCGTTTTGCCCTATAGGTCGGATGACAGCGACTCCTCTCTCTCGGAGGTGCTCAGGTAGAGATCTCTGTCTGTCATTCTGTTTCCTGTTGCCCCGCCCGGCCACACCCCCACCGGGTGTGGTCATGGCATGAGCATGCATGCACCCTTTCCATTTGCGTCCTGTGCTGTGAACTCTGTGAGAATTGAATGAACCTTATGGATGGACTTGTTTGAATAGCTTTAACAATCTTGAAGGTTCAGAGGAAGGAAAACCGATTTCGAAATGCAACTTTTTATATGAATGTACTAGCTTAAATGCCACAAAATCATTTAATTGATCATTTCCTGCCGGGCTGTTTGGAAGGCCCTATTAAAAACCCTATTTGAGTCTCGCAACAGCTCTGGACTGGGATCAAAAGGTGGCGTCCCACTAGCCAACTCAAAACGATTTTGGTCTGGAGTGTCACACCTACTGGCATTTTTGCCAAAATCTCGATGCCTTCTGCCAACAATATTTTTTCTCTGATTCCTTGTCACAAATTGTCGAAATTACCCGATCTGACAGAAAAAAACTTCAGTAGTCGCTCCCAAAGCCATGAGAGTCTGCCTCACCAACTGAACAGTATATTTAAGCAGTCCAGAAGTCGTCGGCAGGGCTTTTAACTCAGGGTTAACACCCACTTGCTGAGACACACCCTGTCTCTTGACTCTTAAGCAACTATGTAAATGAAGCTTATAAATGAAAATCGACTGAAAAATTGGCTAGTAAGATGCCAACCGAACTTGTTAACATGTTGAGTAAATTTTGTCTTTTTGTCCTTTGAACTACCAGTAATCTAATTTGCTTTTGTCCCCCCGCAAGTTTCTTCTGGTCTCTGTTGTAAAGACTCCAAGAAATTGGTTCAGACAAACCCCACAGGTTCAATTTTGTATGTTGCTCAATATTCTTTTCTTATCCAATATAGCGACACTGTGATTTCTCTGCACCCCATTATCCTGACAGCACGATTGCAATTTTCTCGTTTCTTTCGAGTTGCTCTCGTTATACCATTAGAAGCTAATGGCTCTATGATGGAACATGGAGTGCTTGGAACTACTCGGTCCCAAATTTCCTTTGAGAGACAAATCTGTTTAAGGAAGGAACCACAGACAGCTGGCTTAACTTGTTCACCAAGTGAGCCACTGGTGATAAACTATCCGCGAATGAAACAAAACAGCATGATGATAAACTTCACGCTATGATGCCTTAGTATTTTGGCTAAATTGTCTTATCTGAAGCCAGTGTAACTGGGCAGTTTGGACTTGAGTGTTTTTTTTTTTAGATCAACACCCTCTTTGATCAGCACAAAGCTGAGTGAGTCAGTAGGGAAGGCTTTTATTCTCTGAACCACAGCGGTCTGCTCTAAATCCCGCTATGGGAATGTTCAGATAAGGTTCATTCATAACAACTCCCCCTTCGTTTATCCATGAAAAGCACAGAAACTCCATATCCTGACCTCCTCAGGATCCCCCCACCCCCATCTCCACTTCCCTCTTTTCACACTCCATGTTTTTCTCAGAACATCAGATTTCTTTTCTTTCAACCCAGTGGAAGGGTCCAGAACCGTGAGCTCACTCCTCATTGGTTATGTGCTGCATGAAGGTGTGGTTTTTAGAACATCAATTCTATTTTTTTCCTTTCAAATTTGCTGTTGTCTTTTGTTGTAATGTTTTGGTTTTCGCACTTGTGTGAAATGGAGTGTTTACTTTTATGCGTTTTTAGTATCGCAGGGCTTGCATGTCGAGTGTGTGTAGACTGATTTTTGGTTTATGGCAGTAATGTTCATAGCACAGCATGGCACTATATCTGTATTGACTGAGTTTGTTTGATTGACACTAAGTGAGGAATAAAATGGTGAGCATTTTCCTTAACTCTTCACACTTTTCTAATTCCTCACTTATCGGCTCAAACGAGCAAAAAATTAAGCTGCATGGTGTGGAGAAATTACGTGGTGCTCATTATTGAAGCTTGCCAAGGCAAACATCACTGTTACTAACTCCCAACTGGAAACCGTTTTGCCTGGTGGGCAATAAAGAAGGCAAAAAAAATTAAGAAAGCATTTAGAGAATTTGCGGTGTCTTATTTTGACTTGATTAGCAAACACCCAGGATGACAGTGTCCAGTGTCCACCTAGAGCACCTTAAACACCATGACGATGAGTTTTGCATGTGCACATGTGTGTAGATATAATTTAGATGGGGAAAAAATCTAGTTGCATATACAATTTTAGAATGATAATGATATGCAAACGCAGCTTCAGTTAAATGCTTTATTCTTTGATTGAAGTTCGCACACACGTAAACTACTTTGTAGATACTTATGTTTAAACTCCTCTCACAGTGTTAGTCCGGAACTCGATCACCATCAGTTCCTGTTCGCCGGACCTCCCTAGAGTTCCTCTCACTTTAGAGAGCAGAAATGTGCCAACAGCAGCCTCTCGCGTTTCATCTGTCCTCAGAGAGCTGGGATGTCCCAGTTTCCTCTTTAATCAGCCATCCTCCTTCGCCTGCACAGAGGCTTTGACGGCTCCACCATCATTAGGACTTCACAGGCACTGAGCTGGACAGAGGCTGATCTCAGCCCTCTGGAGACCAATTTTCCTTCATCCCAAACTCCAGCTTAATTTCCGTCTCGCTCGGCCAGCAGGAAGGAGCGTTCGGAGACTGGGCTGGTCGGGAACGCCATGTCAGCCTTAAGGGGAAGAGCCTCATTATTTTTTTTAGGGGAGGGAAAGCTTGTTTAGCCCTGCCAGGTTGCCAGTGTATGTGGGCTAATTGGCAGGCACAACTGGAGTTACAAGGCTTTCCTGGCAGCAAAAATTGACGCCAAAAATGAAAATGACTGTTTTTGAAAAGTAATGCCTACTTTTGTTTGATTTAGTTTTTCTTCTGACAGATTACTTCCACCTGTTTACTCAAAGAAATGACTTCTCCGATTTCCAGGAGGGGTCAGTACTGAGCTAAAATCACCCCCACTGTTATGACTGACATAATGCATCCTCTGCTCTGCACAAGTGGGAGCATGGGAAAATAAGACAGAAATAAGACGAGAGATGAGGGATCAACCCCAAAGTCATTTTACTTGTCTTGGTCCCTCAAGTACAAGTCCTAGAGACCTTGAGACCTTAAGTTTTATTTTTGTTTCCTGAAGTTCTGGAGCAGCTTATAGACGAATCCTTTCTTCCATCAAAACAACATGTGTGTTTAGCACATCTCTCCTGCGATAGAAACCCTCATTTAGCCCGTGGCAGTGGTCCATCATAAATCTGACCAGAAATTCGGCTTGCCAGCTGTCAGTAAACGTTACATCCATTTGCAGTTGGCACTGTGGTGCTGTTACGATGGATGTGGAGATTGCGGTTTTCAATTGCACACCAGCTTGCCTGCGCTATTGTTGGGGGAAAACAGAAATAGCTAGTGGATGCCATCCAAGGCGAAACATTGTTCGCTCCCCGATGTGATATGAGCAACCATGACAGGTGTCGTGTGATGGTGATGCCAAGCCTGTCAGCCATTAGACAGACCACAAAATGGTGACATCATAACACGAGTCCCAGCATGGTTGAGAGCAACCGTTCCTTCATCGCCTTTGTCTGGCTGCGGTCTCGATGCTTGACAGACGGTTTGACGGCATTCATACTGGTGAAGAGATTTGAAGTGTCTTTTGGGAGCTTCTGGGAAACTGTGGTTCCTAATTGGGACCATCTCACATAAGGCTGCCAGGAGGAAGAAGTGCTGCCTGGCTCCTGCAAAGAGTCTTTTAAACAATTTATGTGGATATAAATAAGTTTAAAAAGCCCCGTGTTGCTCTGCATCCTCAGAAGCTGTAGGTTCCTTTTCATCCCTGCTTGAGTGCAAGAGTTTCAGTCGATTATTTGCAAATTATGTGCTGCCTCAGCGCACGTGCATAAGTCAAATCTACTTTCTGTTCTCGTGCATATCAACTCAGGCTGGATTATGGACCAGGCCAGTGGGGCAAGGGGCCTCCAAAGCCTCAGGACATGCGACAAAAGAAACTAAACACCGAAGCCCTTGAGGTGTATACACCAAAGGGTCACATGTACCAAGAGGTGCATAGAATGCATTCTTAAAACAAGCGAGCGTTGTGGTTAAAATTTATATAAATTATGTTATTTAGAAAATGACCAATCGTTTTGCTAGATAAGACACTTATTCCTCAGCTGGGATCATGTAGAGCCCTTTGAAGCTGCATTGAAATCGCAATTTGGACCTTCAACCCGTTGGTCCCCTGTTGGAGTTCATTATATGGAGAAAAATCCTGGAACGTTTTCCTCAAAAACCTTAATTGATTTTCGACTGAAGAAAGAAAGACATGAACATCTTGGATGACATGGGGAGACAGATTTTTATTTCTGGAGTGAACTAATTCTTTAAATAATATTACCTTGGTGCTTAAAGTTAGGTTAGCTTAAAGGTTAGTTCACCCAAAAATGAAAATTCTGTCATTAATTACTGACCCTCGTTCCAAACCCGTAAGACCGTCGTTCATCTTCGGAACACAAATTAAGATATCCGGACCAAGGCTGGATTATGGACCAGGCCAGTGGGGCAAGGGGCCTCCAAAGCCTCAGGACATGCGACAAAAGAAACTAAACACCGAAGCCCTTGAGGTGTATACACCAAAGGGTCACATGTACCAAGAGGTGCATAGAATGCATTCTTAAAACAAGCGAGCGTTGTGGTTAAAATTTATATAAATTATGTTATTTAGAAAATGACCAATCGTTTTGCTAGATAAGACACTTATTCCTCAGCTGGGATCATGTAGAGCCCTTTGAAGCTGCATTGAAATCGCAATTTGGACCTTCAACCCGTTGGTCCCCTGTTGGAGTTCATTATATGGAGAAAAATCCTGGAACGTTTTCCTCAAAAACCTTAATTGATTTTCGACTGAAGAAAGAAAGACATGAACATCTTGGATGACATGGGGAGACAGATTTTTATTTCTGGAGTGAACTAATTCTTTAAATAATATTACCTTGGTGCTTAAAGTTAGGTTAGCTTAAAGGTTAGTTCACCCAAAAATGAAAATTCTGTCATTAATTACTGACCCTCGTTCCAAACCCGTAAGACCGTCGTTCATCTTCGGAACACAAATTAAGATATTTTTGATGGAATCTGAGAGCTCTCTGACCCTCCATAGATGGCAAGGATATTTCCACGATCAACACACAGAAATGTAGCAAGGACATCGGTAAAATAGTCCATGTGACATCAGGAGTTCAACCGTAATTTTACGAAGCTACGAGAATACTTTTTGTGCGCAAAGAAAACAGTAATAACATAAGTTATTCAGCAATTCTTCTCCCCGAGTTGCCATCTTCCTCCATTTTGGAGAGTGCCCCAGAATGTAATCAATGTAATCAGCATTGTTTACGTTCAGCATGTGCACAATTTCTACTGAACGTAAACAATGCCGATTTAATTGATTACTTTCTGAACTCGGGGAGAAGAATTGTTGAATAAATTATTGTTTTCTTTACTATGTTTCTGTGCGTTGATAATGGTAATATCCTTTCTGTCTATGGAGGGTCAGAGAGCTCTCAGATTCCATCAAAAATATCCTTTGTGTAATACATTTTTGTTCCGAAGATGAATGAAGGTCTTACGGATTTGGAACGACATGAAGGTGAGTAATTAATAACAGAATTTTCATTTTTGGGTGAACTATCCCTTTAACATTTCTGTCAATTGCAGCCTTTGGGGTCTAGAGATAAACGTTACTTGCACCACACAAGAGTCGAGCATTCTTCTGCAAAACATATGGAGGTTGAAGATGTCTTAAAATAGATCCACTTTCTGTGCCACCCTGCAAAGTCAGCAGTGACCAACTGAGCGGCTTTGAAATGCGGATTTAAACTTCTGAACCAAAGTCCACAACTCACAGAGGACTTTGCTGCAGTTTGCATCAGTCGAACAGGCTTCCCTTTCAAGTGTGCATTCGGCTTGGCTTTGCAGTCAGTGTGACATCAACGTCACATGTATCGGCTCCCCTGCTGCTTGGCAGTGGTACACTACGACAGGACATAATTAGCACCTGCTCGATATATGGAGTCTGTTCTATTGTTTTCACTCATGTTCGTCTGCCTGGCTGATGGCCGGATCCTGTGTGACACAGCTAGAGTCTGATAAATCAAATTAAATATCAGCACGTTGACAATGAACTCCAGTGAGAGCGGCCGAAGCATGGGGGCCTGGAGTGTGCAAGGTTCAACCGCCGGATCTCACAAAGTGGTGGACATGAACAATTCAGTCTGCCCATTGAATCAAGTCCACCTAGCAACTTCATTGGATGAAAGAACTTTTAATGACTACTTTATTCAATGCCTGATAAGAAATTCTGCAAAATCTCTTTGATGCATGTTGTTTAAAATTAAAAATGGTAAATTAATGGTAAATTACAAATTCTGTATATCATTATTTGGTTTGGTAGCATTGCATAGCATGTTAGCTTAACCCGCACGCTAATTCTCGTACTCTACATATAAACACTGTTCAGTGGCTGCACAAACTTGACAATAACCTGTAATGAGGTTAATGGATTGGACCTTCTTCCTGTTTCAATTTTTTTCTTTCTCTTTCTATTGTCCCTCAATCTGTTGTTCTTTCACACATTGATGCAAAAAAAAAAAAAATCTGCTTTTTTTTGTCCATCCGCGTGGAACAGATGGCACACGTTGTATTTGAACACAAACACGCTTTGTTGTGACGTCCTCCTTTCCACCTGTTCGACTAACCTCACAGACTTCTGCACTTCACAACTGTGTTTTAAAATGCTGCTTGTCTTTGTGCAGGGGTGTAATCACTCCCACAGGTGGGCTGAAGGGGGGCAGGACGGCCCCTCTGCAGTGTGTGGCGGTGGCTGAGGGACACACTAAACCTGTGCTTTGCCTGGATGCCACGGACGAGCTGCTATTCACCGGCTCTAAAGGTATCATTTTTTTTCCACTCTGAACCTGTGAAAGGAAAACATAAGCACAAACACATGAACCAATTTGAATTACATTTTCTCAAGGTCAAAAGCCCACTGCTGTAAAGAAGGCTAACTGTGGGCAGCTCAACAGAAATCTTGTGCACCTTTATACATTACTCGCAGTGCTTCAGTTATTATTCATTTACAAGCTGCCAGCATTACATCCTGAAACTGTAATCATAAATGCATATTTTGCATTTTGCAAATTATGTTTTTGTTTTTATGCTGGAGGGGCTAGCAACCTTTTGGACATCGAGTACAAATTTTAGCTTTAAGGACTTTTAATACATCGAAGCGACTGAACATTTTTTAAAATTAATTTCTAAACCTAATTAAATCGAAATTGTATGTAATTTTAAGCATGCTTGACCTTTTTGCCATTGGAGATGTGTGCCTAAAAGGCAAAATATGCTTCCGTTTTTTACTTTTGGCTCAAGGATGAACATGATTGGCATCATAAACATGCATAGTGTAAAATGAATTTTTTAATACCTGGTATTCAGATCGAACCTGCAAGATGTGGAACCTGGTGACTGGACAGGAAATCGTGACCCTGAGAGGACATCCTAACAACGTTGTGTCTGTCAAATACTGCAGCTACTCTGGCCTGGTCTTCACAGTTTCCACCTCATATATCAAAGTATGGGACATTCGCGATTCTGCCAAGTGCGTCCGGACGTTCACGTGAGTATATTTTCAATTAGCATTTAGCTATAGCATCTGAATGCACCTAGTTTAGCAAATTTCAACTCGTCCATCTTTAGGTCATCGGGTCAGGTGGTCTCAGGCGATGCCTGTGCTGGTACAACCACTCGCACCATCACTACAGCCCAAGGAGAGTACCAGATCAACCAGATCGCCCTCAATCCCTCCGGATCTGTGCTGTACGCCGCTGCAGGCAACACTGTCCGCACATGGGACCTCAACAGGTGCAGAGTTCATTCCTAAGTCATTAGCATTTATTGATGAATTCAAAAATCTACCAAGTGAATTGGCTGTACAGAGTTCATAACCATGTGCATATTCTGTTATATTCTTTGTGTGCAGAATGCAGGCCACTGGGAAGCTGACCGGACACATTGGGTCAGTCATGTGTCTTACAGTGGGTTATTCTGGAGGAGGCAAGGATCAGGTGATCACTGGATCCAAAGACCATTACGTGAAAGTGCGTTTAACCATTTTAGTTTATTTCCCTTTTTATATAGGTCTCTGTTCTTCATGTTGTCATCTAGGATATAGGTTTGACATTGAGTGCTATGTTGTGTTTAAAATATTTGCATCAAAAGCAGTTATAATTTAGAAATAAATGGCCATTTTCTACCTTGTTTTAGACTATGGTTTAAACCATCATACATAACATCTTTGCATATGAAATAAGTATTATGCATGTGGAGCTGCATTTTACTAATCGTGTAAAGTGTGGATTACAGTGCTATGTTTACAGTACATTTACTCCATCAAAGGTTCCTTTTAGCACTTTGTTTTGGCAGCACTGGGCATTGTAGTTAGTTTTGTTCAGCGCTAATTCACCCACTCTTGTGAATGCTCTCATCATAACCAAAAAAGTGCTGACACAATGTAAATTTGAGTTTCATTATGCTGATTTGGTGAGATAGCAGAACTTGCGCTGAACTAAAGTGACTGCTTCAGTGATTATAAAGGGATGACTCTTTGTTCGCTTTCTGTATATAATTTAATCACAATTTGAAAACGTTGTTTTTAATGCTAGTAAAATAATGTGCATGTGACTGTTCAGTAGATGGCTTGATTTATTGGCTTACCCTTGAAATAAATGATTTTGAGACAGATCGGCTAACCACAAGTCCTTACATATCAAAACAATCTTATAGCAGTCTCGTGCCAATGTATTCATCTCTATTGCATAATAAATACCTGTAGAAGTAGAAAACGAGTTGTTTTACAAGCAATAAAAGCTTTTTTGCACTAATAAGTAAGGTCTGAGTTCTGAAACTTGCCACATGCTTTTATAGTACAATGACCTCTTATGTCAAAAATTAATTCTCAATTCATGATCTTTTTAATGCAGATATTTGATGTTGCGGAGGGAACCCAGGGTAACATCGGACCAGCTCATAACTTCGAGCCCCCTCATTATGATGGGATTGAGTGTCTTGCTGTACATGGCGACGTACTGTTCAGTGGTTCCCGTGACAATGGCATTAAGAAATGGGATCTGGGACAGCAGGAACTTATTCAGGTAAAAATTACTATTGCATGCAAGCGTATTTTGGTCTTATGTTATAATGTGACATAACATAATTTACACACTGCTTGTAATGTATTAACTATTTGTGGTTATAATATTAATTCTTGTCCTCTTTACAATCATCATATTGTCAAAGCAATGAGCCTCATGTGGCAATCCCCCCCCCCCCTTTCCTTTAATTATTACAAAGAAATGTAGATTTCAATGAGATATTTTGATATAATTATTAATTTAAGGAACTAGAAAAAGAAAGAACTGTGAATGATAAGCTGTAAGTGCTTTAAAGAGTTTAAAGTGCATTAAAGTTAAGACGGCTTACATGACTGACAGCGACAAAGTTAAATACAATATCCAATACCGAAAAATAATATATACACAGACAAATGATGTTTCAGAGGGTAATAACCCAGCGTTTACCTATTGTTCCTGTGTCAATAGATGTAGGATGGCTTCATTTATCAGCGCCGGTTGACGTCATTGCAGTCTGACAGCTAAAAACAGCTAGTAATACGTTTAATTTTAATGGTTTCTCCAGCTGCTTATATTAGACAAGAACACATACCAAAGCTTCACATCATCCAGAGCTAAAAGGTCAAAAATAATGGTAGACTATTATAAGATGACATAAAATGAGTCTCCTGCAAGTCAAGAATATATGAATTATGCATTTCACAGGTAAATTGTATTGTAATAGTAATAATTAAAGCACAGTTTGATGCTGAAATCCAAAACGGAGGACAAATATCACCAGGAAGATCAATGTGGCATGATGGACGGAGATCTTTAATCAGTATTTACCTGTAAACATTTCCAGTTTTTGTCAGATTTTTAGACATGCAGATGAAAGAAATCTTTATTTAAAGCAATATCTTCACATCGGTCTTTATTTTGTTTTCATTACGCAGATTTTTTTGCGCCCAATCTATTAAACATATCCAAATCTTTATATTTTAAGTGATTGACAGCACACGCCACCTCTCGCCCTCAATAGGAAGACGTTTAAATCCCAATGCAGTTATCAATGTGTAAGCAGTGGGTTTATCTAAACACACACTTTACGTGCCCTCTCTGATTGCACAACTGGGTAAATTTGCCAAGATAAAGTGCTTTGGTTGCTCTTTTATGAGATTTTCCGTCCACAGGCCTGTTGGCAGAATCAGCCGAAGATGTTGGTAATAAAGTGAAACTCTGTAGTTTGAGTTTAAAATTTAAATTCGGCTTGTTTGTTGAAATCATTTGCAGTCTTATTACTATTTTGTGTGTAGTAAGGGTAAGAGGTTAACCCCTAAACTGAAGAAGTAAACTTCCACCCACTGTTTGTACTGCAGACCTGATGGTGCCATTTGTAGAGCAGAGCTGAGCTAAAAATGGAATGTCACTTGTTTCTCCTCAGCAAATCCCAAACGCGCACAAGGATTGGGTGTGTGCTCTGGCGTTTGTTCCCGGGCGGCCCATGCTCCTCAGTGCCTGCAGGGGGGGAATGCTCAAGGTGTGGAACGTGGACAACTTCACGCCCATCGGAGAGATTAAGGGCCATGACAGCCCTATCAATGCTATCTGCGCCAATTCCAAACAGATCTTTACTGCCTCCAGGTACGTGCATCAGGCAAGAGAGAGTGTTCAGAAAAAGATTAATTTACTAGTGATGCATGATTCATGGAAAAATCGTTCTTTTGGTTCTGTCTTTTTTTTTAATGAACTGGTTTGCAAATCAGGCTGGACAGTTTGTTCCAATCTGGTAAACAGAGCCAGTTGGCAATATATAAAAATAAATGATAGCTTACAGTTGCAATGAAATCGAAGTAGCGACAGATCCTTTCTTCCATACTGTGAGGTAAATATGAGTGTAAAAATCTAAGGCAAGGACTTGGTTCTATCAAAAATAGCAGATGAACTCAAGTTTGCATACCAAATGTGCGTACCAAATGATTGGAGAAGTCTATATGAAACCAACATGAATACAAAGAGTACATTTTCCTGTTTTAAATTAGATTTATTGAAATATTTTTCTTGTGCTTTATTGTGGACACTCTTGGGTCATTGACCCATTGTTTGTTGTAACACATTGTTTGACAAAAATACATATGTTTCTTACTCAAGGTATAAAGGCCACATATTTCTGCATTTCTACATCACGTGACAGGCATGTACGGTGGGCGAGAGAGCTCAACACGCTGCAACACATGCAAATAGAAAAAGCACCAGCAAATTAACTAAAAAGCACCTTCATCAGTTTGACAACACATGCTGCAAATTCTCGCAACGCAACCAAATACAGAAGCGCGCTGCAAATACTTGCAACACACCAAATACAGAAATGCGCTGCAAATACAACCAAATACAGAAATGCGCTGCAAATACTTGCAACACACCAAATACAGAAATCTGTTATTTTGCTAATATAATTTATATATAAATGTGTATATATATTTAGTTTTACTCTATTTAAAGCAGCAAAAAGAATCTGTGTAAAAGTCAACAAATAATCACTTTTGGAACTGATTAATTGACTTCTCAATGCTATGAAGAGAGTAGGGACATATACGGCTGTTTATGCCGGGTTTAGCGGTTGACCAGGCCATTTTCAACGTTGTCGGTCAATTCGAAATTGATTCTGGCAGCTACTGGCAGTCAGAGCAGATACTTGAGCAAAGGTGTGACAGTTCCTGAAGGTTAAAGACAAGCCGAGCGGCGGCGTTTCGAATGCGCTCGAGGGGACGTGAGCTGCAGAATGTCTGAGAATAAACTACACCGCTCAACTGTGTCATTTTGTTGCTGTCAGTTATTTCTCACACTTTCAGTTGTGTGTCATCTCTCTCTATGTTCATCTTCCAGCTCTCTCATACTTTGCACCAGTTTCGTTTCATAGGCCAACTTCTTTTCAGGTGTTTGATCCCACATAACTTTCCCTTAGCTTTTTCACTTCAGGCCAGTAAAAGAGAAAATAGTACTAATTAGACTCTATGCATAGTTTTCTTCCAGTAGAATAATTCATGAGATCTTGTTCATTAAATCAAGTGAGAAAATCAGTATCTGTTATCATCTTCACACTGCAAAAGTGTAATAAAAAAATAAAAAAAGACCCTGCAACATAGTGCTTGGTAAAACTGAAGGAGCTGTTATTTTGCTAATATAATTTATATATAAATGTGTATATATATTTAGTTTTACTCTATTTAAAGCAGCAAAAAGAATCTGTGTAAAAGTCAACAAATAATCACTTTTGGAACTGATTAATTGACTTCTCAATGCTATGAAGAGAGTAGGGACATATACGGCTGTTTATGCCGGGTTTAGCGGTTGACCAGGCCATTTTCAACGTTGTCGGTCAAACCGAAATTGATTCTGGCAGCTACTGGCAGTCAGAGCAGATACTTGAGCAAAGGCGTGACAGTTCCTGAAGGTTAAAGACAAGCCGAGCGGCGGCGTTTCGAATGCGCTCGAGGGGACGTGAGCTGCAGAATGTCTGAGAATAAACTACACCACTCAACTGTGTCATTTTGTTGCTGTCAGTTATTTCTCACACTTTCAGTTGTGTGTCATCTCTCTCTATGTTCATCTTCCAGCTCTCTCATACTTTGCACCAGTTTCGTTTCATAGGCCAACTTCTTTTCAGGTGTTTGATCCTACTTAACTTTCCCTTAGCTTTTTCACTTCAGGCCAGTAAAAGAGAAAATAGTACTAATTAGACTCTATGCATAGTTTTTCTCAGAAGTGTAAAGCAGTATTCAGAGTCTGCTGAGTGGGCATTTTGAGAGTCTGCCCATGTAATAAGCCCAACTCATCAGGGGATTAAGTTTAGTGACATTAGCAGACAGTTTTAGGCAGAACTAGATGTTACCTCAGGCTCAAGCATCCGATTGAGTGGCAACGATCCCCTGAGGAGAGTAGAAAAGACCCAGTTTCATGTTTTTGGACATAGTCCTGGTACGACAAACAGAATTTCAGACTATCTATCACTGGAATGTTGGATGAAAATTTGGTCACTTTGTTTAGCCCATTATTATTTTCTATATTATGGCTACCATATAACACTTTAAAACAGAAGTGTTAAAGAATTTGCACAGCATGCCTGGTCCAAGTTATCTTTTTTTTTTATAAAAAGGAGCAGTTCACCGAAAAATGAAAACTGTCCTTTACTCTTCATCTGTACTTTTTCTTCAACGAAATAAGACATTTAGCAGATTGTTGTAGCTGTTCTTTTTTCATAAAATCAAGGTACATGGAGGAAGAGCTTTTTGAGCACTAAAAAACACCATGAAAACAGTATATAAAAAAATCACACACACACAAAAAAATATTTTAAAATGTAATGTTATTCAATTAAAATCATCTGTTTCACCTCTCATTCTCGTCTGTGTATATCCAAGTATGCCATTTCTCACACAAATCTGTCATTTGACTTAGAAAAAAATTGGAATATAGTGCACAAGTAACGTGGACTACTTGTATGACTTTATTTTGTCCTGTCTCTCCCGGCCTGAAGCGCAGGGCCGCTTTGCAATACGCCTTACGCCTTACTGTGTGCAACATCATGCCATCGCCAAACGCTGCTGTTAAATCCCTTTTTTTGGGGAAAAAACAAATGTGTTTGAATGGGGTGCTTTCTAGATACCTGGCAACCCAGGTAGGCAATTAATACGCAGATTAGAAAAGACATTTAAGTAATAGAGAAAAAGAGGCTGAAATTAAAGGCTAGACAGAACAATCAGTCATTTTAGAGCCGTTCTGCTGTAACACCGAGTTGAGCTGACAGTTAATTGATATCCATGAGCAGGTGAAATGCAGCGGGGCATATATACATACACACACACACACACACCCACCTACACAAACACACACCAATAAAGGTTACAGGTGCCTTTTATCGCATTAACTCCTCCCAAGGAATGTAAATGATTGTACAGAGTTTCTTTCTTTTTGTTACACATGCATGCAACCAAACTTGATGTAAAATATTTGACTGTAAATACTGTACATATTTTATTTAATGACCGTTCAAGCATTCCTTCCGAGAAATAAACAAACAAACAAAAAAATCTTTGGTATGTTTTCATTTCATTTTCACCCATGGTAGGAGTTCTCAGTAGTGTTGTGATGTTTTCTTGCCGTTTATCTCTCAGATAGAATTACGGTTGAGTTCCTTCCTGTTTCCTGTCTGTGATGACCCTGAAGATATGATCTGTCCGTATAGAACCACCGGCTTGCTGTCATCACACACCGTGTACTACTGCAGGGTGAATCTCATGAACCCATCAGCTCACATTTCACCACAAAATCTAAAGAAAAAAAAATATTTGCATCCTAAACTTAATGTATGCAATTAGTACATGTATTTATATTTGCCTTTATAATATATGCAGCATTTTATAGAATATTTATCAATTGCCAGCCATTCAAAATTAGGTGTGTATTCTAATGCATTACTGCATACTGCATTATAATATATAGTATAAACCTACTGCACAAAAGTTTAGTTTTTTTTTTAATGTTTTTGAAAGAAGGCTTCATTTAGTATGTTCTTAATTTCATTTCCCCCCCCCCGTTTTACAGCTGAATTTTCAGCATCATTACTCCAGACTTCCATGTCAAATGATCCTTCAGAAATCATTCTAATATGCTGACTTGATGCTCATTTATTGCAAATGGTGAAAACGATCATGCTTTGATGAATAAAAAGTTCAGAAGAACAGCATTAATTTGAAATAGAAATCTTCTGTAACATCATAAATGTCGCTGCTGTCACTTTTGATCAATTTAATGCTTCCTTGCTGAATAGATCGAAGTACTATTTTTGTCTGTCTGTCTGTGTATATATGGAATAATAGAATATTATATTTTACACACATATATATATATGTATATGTGTTTGTGTGTGTAAAATCTAAAATGTAAATATTTACAATTATGATATGATATGGACATATTCATGATGGTTTTTGTTATATTCATGTCACAGATGATACAAATAATGTCTGCCATTCAGGTCGTGTACAAACCTTGAGGGGAAAAACCTTATTCATCATGTTAACTGTCATATTTTCCTGGCTAATGGTGACAAAAGACTCGGATGTGAAATTTCTAGTTGGGATTGATCGAGGTTTCTGTTTCCCAGTGGATGTCTCGGAAAATGTCGAAGTTTGAACTTGCAAAACAAAATGGTGACAAAAACATATTTGTAACAACTTCATATTGCCTGCGTTTGAATACCGACACAGCCGAACGGCCCCTGATGTTGTTACAGAGCGCATGGGGAGATGAAGCTTTCCGGAAACCCAACGCAATTTAAACAGTAGTCATACATCTTCATTTCACGTGTAAATCGTCATCATTAACTGGTGAGGCTGTGCTTGTCTTCCTTTCCTCGGGAGGACTGTAGGATGATGATGGACGAGTGGCATCAACGTGTGATTGAGGCGATACGGCCCTAAACGTGCACACGCTCTTTTAGACCGTTCACAAACATCTTCCATCACAACCTCCCTTTCTCGGTTTAATCTTCAAGCTCAAGGAGCTGTTCATCCCTGTGTCGATCCAGACCCATGACTTGCTTTCCACTGTGTGCGACACAAATGGAGAAATGCTGAAGAATGTACAGGCCACTCATATACAGTGATGAAAGTGAACAGGGTTATTGAGCTCCAAAATGATAACAAAAGTGGCATAAGCAGTTTATGTGACATATGCAGTATGTTTCTAAATCTTGTGTGTGTGTTCTGTTTAATTTGACAAAAATATTCAAATTTTGTCAATATTTCTTCATTATATTTAGTTTCACTGACTAAAATGGGATGCATTTCTGTATGAATTTAAACATTTAACAAAAGCATATGTGAAAACTGTCCTTGAGAATTAATTTTACACAATTCTAGTGTGCTGTTACAGAAATGTGACTTTCTGACTAGCATGTAACTTAGTTCAAGGTCACGTATACAATAATACAATTTTCCTAGTCAGATATTGTACATGAAGGGCATCTCAAGTCATATTTATGACTGAGAAGATCATTTTGACACCCAAGTTTTTTCGATGTATTTCTCTCGATGTATTTTACTCCGTAAATACAGCAGTTAACTGAAACGTTAGAATCGTTTGCAAAATTGCTATTTAGATAATGCGGTGAATGTTTACAATAACGCAAGGTTGTGGAAAAATGAGACACTACATTTTAGACAAAATCCATTGGAAGTTGGTTGAATGCATTCAGCCTTTAATAAGATTTCCCCTAGAAATAGACAGAAATTAAACTGGTGTTATCCATGATTCCTATTCTTTCTGACAATAAAGCCCTTGAACACGACAAACTTGTAATTAGGACTTCAGAAGTGGGAAGTAGGACATTTTCAATTGCTTGTGAAGGCAACAATTAACCCACTAGAAAAGCACTTCAGTTTGTACAGCTTTATTGACCTTTATTTTGCACATCCTTATCATTGACAAAATTCAAAAACCTTTGTGAATAAACATTTTCATGTGTGGACGAGATTAACCCTGGAACAGACTGAAATTGAAATGGTCATTGACTAAAAATCTTTCCACATTAATGTCGCCATTTTTGAATCAATGCAGAGGGTAAATGACACTAAGTCTTTCAAAGTTGTTGTTAGGCTTCTGAAAGTTTGGAATATGATAAAAAAAGCACTAGTAAAGTATCCTAAAAGTAGTCCATAGTAGAGCTTGACAGGTTCATTGTGTGGAAAAGAGTTCATTCCTCAATCATTCTGAGCTCGATGAATAAAATAAATTCCTATGAGTTTGTATTGACATATGGGTAGATAAATAAGATGGAAACTAGTCTATTAAACCGTTACTATGCTTAAAAGGCATGACTACAGTCTACAACTATTAGACTTGCCAGAGGAAGAAATG